CAACGAGCGCTCGGAATTCCGGCCGGAGTCCCCAGAGAACGTAAAGTACATGTTCATCGAGAGAAAGGGGATGACTGGCTAGTGAAAGCGCCTCCACGATCAACTGGGCTCGTCCCAAGTATTCGGCCGGTGAGCTGCTTTCCTACCGGGTGGAGGAGCCCAACGCGGTGGTGATTGACAGCCACACCTCACGGGCGGTGGTATAGCCTACGGCGAGATACATCACCTCGTCAGAGAGCGACGAGATGAGCAGCGAGAGGATGGAAGCATCCTGTTGAACCTAGGCAGTGAAGGAAGGATTGACCATCGCGGTGGCAGCCGCACCAGACGCCGTGCCGCCGGTGGAGGGAGTCGTTGCGATGGTGGCCTGAGGACACGCGTTCTCACCATCGATGAGGCCGAGGAGTCCTTGGCCTCGGAGGAACGGCACAATTTGTGTTCGCCAAAAGAGGAAGTTTCGTGTCGTAAGTTTCATCGAAACGAAGTGGTGGGCAGAATTCAGGGAATTGGTGGTGGCCGAGGATGGGGTGGCGGCACTCACCGTTCGTTCAGATGAATTGGTCGACATCGGGAAAAAATTAGGAGAGAGAAACTTGGCTTACTGATACCAGATGAGAGTAATCAGTTTGAAATTGATCGATAAACTCTGTCTGTTACAACAATAGTAACCTATAGGAATAGGTAACTCAAAACACTCCTATACAATAGGCTAAGCTACGTCTGCTCTAACTACAGCCACTCATATATTAACCATATAATATAACAACATTACTAACATTATTAACATATATATTGAGTTGTTTCACTTATTAGACTAGACTAGAGTAATTATAAATACTGACAGGCCGTTTGGTTGGAAGGAAGGAATTAGAGAGGAAAAGAATAAGGTGTAATAAAGTAGGAATTCAAATTACGTTTGGTAGGAGTGGTATAAAGACTAAAATACCCTTGTGTAATAATAATAATAGTAATAATAACCAAGGGAAGTAATGTCATTTCATCTATTTTTCTTTTCTCACATCCATTAAATTGCAATTCATGGATTGCAATTCAACAAAAGGATGGAATTGCAATTCCCTCCAACCAAACAACGTAATTGAGGCCTCCATTGAATTCCAATTCAACTACAACTAAGTTACAGTGGTCTTGGGTGTGCAAGAAGCAAAGAACTGTGGCCAGATCTTCTACGGAGGCTGAATACAAGGGTTTAGCTGATGTTTGTGCTGAGGTAATCTAGGTTATCTCTCTCTTATGAGAGATTGGCGTGACTAGGATCTCTGTTCCCAAGCTGTGGTGTGATAATCTTGGTGCTACCTATCTATGTGCTAATCCCATTTTTCATGCTCGCACTAAACATGTTGAGATTGACTATCACTTTGTGAGAGACATAGTTGCCAAGGGAGAGATTCAAGTCAACTTTATCTCCACCAAAGATCAACTTGCTGATATATTTACAAAAGCTTTAGCGGGTCCTAGGTTTTCTTTTCTTAGAGACAAGCTACATGTCACGTCTGTACCCTATGCTTGAGGGGGGAGTATTAGGACTCTATGTATTTGGGTCAGTTTATGATTCACAATCCTAGTCTCCCTATGATTCACAATCCTAATCTCCTTCTGTCTCCTCTTGTATATATACCTAGAATCTGTACTCTTGTAATTATCATTGTTAATACAATCAATAACAGTTCTCATCATATCATGGACCATAATTCATCTTGTAAGATGAACTATTTATATAAGTTCATTTTTAGTATACTGAAGATTCATTTTCAGTGCATTTTAATTAGTGTATTGAATGTTCAGTTTTTAGTATATTAATTAAAAATGAACTTTTAGTATATTAAAAATATAATGAACCTTCGATATACTGAAAATGAGTATTTATCAATGATTCACATTGCAATGTGTATCCCCGTTCGCTCTGGGAGGCACAGGAGCTGGCCCAAGAAGAATCGTCACTTGTGAGAATCAAACCCGAGTTATCCCGAAATTCTCCCCCACAAAGAAAGCTTATTTGCCACTTAAGTTACCCCTTTGGGTTCTTTTGCATCTTTACTCCCATGATGTGAGATAGTTTGTGTGGTTTACGTACTGATGATGCTTGCTTGGGGTTATGTTCCACTTATTTTATATGCATTTTGCTTTTTATAAAACAATTTTTTGGTCATACTCTAGTCATCTTTTGAAATTTATTTTAGACTTGATTGAAACGTTTTCTATAGATAATTTCTAATTTTGTTTTATTGAGGGGTGGAGTTTGTTTTCCCCTCTTTATTTTCTATAGACTTGATTGCACTTCCATTCTTTTTGTTTAATAAAGCTATGGATTTCTTCTTCTTCTTTTTTTTTTTTTTTTCTTAAAGAAAAAAAATAAAGAAAAATGCATCAACCAAGTAAAGAATTGGAAGATCAATAAGGGAGATTGCAGGATCCAGTTAAATTCTTCCAAAAGGCTGAACCCCAACCCTAAGGGACGATCCAGTTAAATTGATTAGACTATTGACTTGGTAATCACAAGATAGTTTGAATCCCAGCGGACGTACGACTTACGCGTGCGTCCTTTTCAAATTGGTTTACATAAGAAAAAGTTAATTTAAACCAATTTATTTAAACAAGTGTGACTTGAAATATTGATGATCAAGATGCCACTTTACCACTCAATCTTATTTGATTGGAGTAAGAACCACAAGAGTTGCTATGAGCACCATGCATCCACCTAGCTAATGTCACATCATCAACATCATCAAAGAAAATTAGTAAAGTTCATCTTGCCACCCTATACGCTGCTTAAAAGCAATAGTCAAGCATGTCTTTATTAGAGTGGACATTAATTGATCATGAAGGAACTTGGTCAAGAAAGAGGTTTGCAACAAGGGTGTAATCTACTATCTACTATATATTTATAGCACTATGCATTATACTTCTTACTATACTTGTTCACTTTGAAAATAATGTGTTAACTGGCTTATCACGTTTTGAGTAGTTAAAGAGTAACATACTTTAGTTAATAATTCATTTAATTTTAAGAAAAAGTAAAGCAAAAATATATATGCTCTATTATAAATATCTTGATAGAGAAAATATGTATCAATTAAACATCTTCTAAACACAGAAAATAAATATCACAAAAAAAAAAAAAACACAGAAAATAAATATCTTGATAGAGAAAATATGTATCCATTAAACATATTCTAAACGCAAAGAAAATAGATACATATAGAAATGAGAGAATAATGATAGAAATTTCTATAGTTAAATTTACCTATAATATTTTTCGTTAGTAATCTGTAAGTAAATACAGCTGTGTAAATAAATTTAATTACGGAAATTTTGTCGATAATTCATCATAAAATTGGTTTGCAGTCATCGTATTTTTGTATTAAGTATTACCGTCATTTTCATTTTAGCGATGAAATTATCCATCGAAAATTTTTTGACGAATTACAAATTTGAGGTACTTTTTTAAGGATTAATAATGTTATTTTCATTCCAATTTTCTGCTCTTGATGTGGTATTAAAACGCTTTCAATGCATTGAGTGCTAATGAATTGGTTGACGTTATTATGAGTTAAAAAATAATTAAATTGGTTAATAATCAAATACTTAAAAAGTCTAATATCACTTCAAGGGGGGAAATTATGAGAAGTGCTTAGCATTATTATTCATCCAAAAGGGAGGCTGAACCCCACAGAGCATTGTGTCCCAACTGAACATGGGAGGCTGAACCCTTGATGAGACTCGATCCCTGGTCATTCTTACAAAGTTTTACCTCTATGACCAGTTGAGCTACCCATGCGAGCATATTATTTATTATTATTATTATTATTATTATTATTATTATTATTATTATTATTATTATTATTATTGTTATTGTTGTTATTGTTGTTGTTGTTGTTGTTATTGTTGTTGTTATTGTTATTGTTATTATTATCATTATTATTATCATCATCATTATCATCATCATCATTATTATTATTATTATTATTATTATTATTATTATTGTTATTATTATTATTACTATTATTACTATTATTACTATTATTGTTGTTGTTGACATCCTGTCCTTGCCAAAGAGCCAAGTCTTGAGATGTTTGAATATTTCAATTCAATCCAACATGTACCAATTTTGTAATTATTAGTTTGTCGAGTAAATTGTTATATTATTCAAACATCATGTTCATTACATAAATATCTTATCAATAAAAGCCTTTAATTATATATATATATATATATATATATATATATATATATATATATATATATATATATATATATATATATATAATTAAAGGCTTTTATATAGGGAAGGGATCAGGTGCATTTGTGGCTTCCCGTACGGATGTGCGGTGGATTAATGTGCGTGAGGTCTATACTTAATGTGCGTGAGATTTGTACTCAATGTGCCTGAGATTTGTACTTAATGTGCGTCAGTTAATATGCGTGAGTTTTGTACTTAATGTGCCTGAGTATTGTGTTTAATGTGCGTGAGATTTGTGCTTAATATGCGTGAGTGTTTCATAATTACGAGCTCAGAAGGAAGCAGAACAGAAACTCACGCATATTAACGCCCAAGCTTCTTGTTACTTCTTCCTTCAATTTAGCCATGGATTCTGGATTATCAGCTACCTTCAGTGCAGTTGAATGTTTATATAGATGACGCACGCACAGTAAAATTTGCACAGCAGCTAAGTGTGAATTTCTGTTGTATTATTCCCATAATTCTTAACCACCATAGCCCGCCTCCACATCATCATCATCAGGGAAGGGGCAATGGCTACTGGGAATGAGGAAGAAGCTGATATGAATATTTTCTGCTGCATTTTACACATTCACGCACATTAAGTTCAAATCTCAGGCACATTAAGCACAACACTCACGCACATTGAGTACAAATCTCACGCACATTAATCCACCGCACATCCGCACGGGAACAAGTCAGCTCCTACTCATGTTTGTTATTTGCAGCGCTCTTTATATGGGCTTAAGCAAGCTCCGCGTGCATGGTTTACCCGGTTACATAACTTTCTTCTTTCCGTTGGCTTTACTCCATCGAAGACTGACGTGTCTTTGTTCATTTATTCTGATCATGGTGTGCAGCTTTATTTCCTGGTTTATGTCGATGACATTCTTGTCATGGGCTCGGATTCTCGCCGAGTTACTGGGCTGGTGGATCGGCTTGCTCAGGAGTTTAAAATTCGAGATATGGGGCCCCATCTTTTTTTCTAGGGATTGAGACTGTCTCTATTTCTGATGGTATTCTTTTGTCTCAGCGCCGTTATGTTCAGGATATTCTCAAGCGTGCAGGGATGGTTGACTGTAAGCCGGTTTCTACCCCGATCTCGGTTGCTCGCTCTAAGGACGGTGATGTTGCTCCCTTTGCTGATCCTACGCACTATCGTGGGCTAGCTGGTGCCTTGCAGTACTTAACGGTGACTCGTCCTGATTTATCCTTTGCAGTCAACCGGCTATGTCAACGCATGCAGGCTCCTACTACTGCTGATTGGTCTATGATGAAGCGGGTGTTGCGTTATGTGAAAGGCACTCTTGGCATGGGGCTGTGTGTTCGGAAGTCTTTATCTACCTCGCTGCATGCGTTTTCTGATTCGGATTGGGCTGGTAGTCCGGATGATAGGAAGTCTACCAGTGGCTTTGCGATATTTTTGGGCTCTAATCTAATCTCGTGGTCGTGCCGGAAGCAACGCACTGTGGCGCGTTCTTCTACTGAGGCAGAATATAAGGCCTTAGCTGATGTGGCGGCTGAGGTGACATGGCTTGTTTCTTTGCTTAAGGAAATCGGTTTCTCTCCAACTTCTCCACCTAGACTATGGTGTGACAATTTGGGTGCTACGTACCTGTGTGCCAATCCGGTTTTCCATGCTCGGACTAAGCATGTGGAAATTGACTATCACTTTGTCCGAGACAAGGTTGCCAAAAAGGAAATTCAGGTTCACTTCATTTCCACGAAGGATCAGATTGCTGATATTTTTACCAAGCCACTTGCATCAACTCGATTCTCTCTTCTTCGTGACAAGCTCAACATTTCGACTGCTCCACCTTGAGCTTGAGGGGGAGTGTTAGGACTCTTGTATTAGTAGTTGGCTAGGACTCTTTACTTATCTCCTTATATTGTTATTGTTCAGACTATTATTGTTTTTACATTGAATATACAATCCTCATCTATATGTTCATTTTTAAAAGTGAGAGCATTTCAAGAATGTATAGTAGTAGCGTAATGCACAAATATGGTTTAGTTAGCTGTCAATGTTGTCTTAAATTTAAATAAGTTAGTTGTCAATTCTCAATAAATCGTATTTGGTGGTACTATGTCTATATGGACTAAATCTGATATTTCAATTAATTCCTGTCACATTGTCCTATAAAAAATATTTCGTTAAGGCAAAATACATTTTCCTTATCCAATCAGGTCCAAAAGCTAGTATGAGAATGAACAAGATCTATTAATGGTGGAATGAGCTGAGCTGCCCTCTAAACTCGCATTTAAACAGATTGGACTTTTTCCCCACTTGTCCAAATCCAAAGTCTATGCTCTCTCTATCAAAATAAAAAGAAAACAACTACGTTTTTTTCTTTTTTTTTGAATGCTACTGACTCTATTACAATGTAGTACTTTCTTAACCTACTGAAGCACAAAGAGCGAATAACGCCAAGCCAATAACACCTCTATTGAAGCTCGAACTCACAACCTCCCATATGGGAGTCCAATCTAAGTGTCATTAGACCACAAGGTCTTGAAACATTATTATGATATTAAAAAAAAAAAAAAACTATTTAAATTCAATTGCTACTAGTAATTTGAGTAGTTTATAGTCAGTCTATATAAGTTATTCATATAAAAAGTGTTGGAGTTGTGATATTTAGGTATAACCTAACAACTTTAGTAGATTTGAATTTATTGAAAGAATAGAACTGTCCAAGTTCGAGATATGTGCCGAGTAGACTACTACTCCAAACACAATGAATCATGATGTTAGTCCAAGGAATTAAATAGATGCCAAGTCAAATTGTACTATCCAAGGAACTGAATAGATGTGGAATTTTGATTTGAAATTATAATTTTAGAGATCTAGAAAACTTAATTCTCAAATCAAAGTTTAAAGGATAACCATACAAACATTATTAAGGTGGAAGTAGCCAAAATGGAGGATACAAGGATCATTATCTATAGCAAAAATAGATCTTTTCTCACCTAGTGTAGAATTAGGATGCAAGAATATATACTAACTAATTAAAACCCTATCCCATTTAATTATCTAACTAGCTAGCTATTCCAACTAATGGCTAAATAAAATAAAATTAGTGCTACTGAAAATTGGTGTTTTTCAAACGCCAAATCAGAATTATGCTCTAAGTAACATTTTTAAAGTTTGATTATGATATTTGAGTCTAGTCTAACAATTTTAGTAGAGTTTGATGCTATTGAATGATAAAAACTATTCAAGTTTAAGACATGCGTCAAGTAGACTATCACTCCAATGAGAACGAATCACGATCTTAGTTTTAACAGTTAAATAAATACAAAGTCAGATTGCACTATTTTGTATTGAGATTGTGCTACAAGCTAATTTGTTGTAGTTACGCGACAAACTTTTCTTTAAAAAAAAATAAAATAAAAAAAATAGAGGATCTTGAAACCCCAAGGTAAGTCTTTCACTTCTTATAATATCATTGCTTTGACAATTTTCTCCCAACAACAACATGATCCATACGCTTTAGGTGCTACGTAAAGAAAACTAATAACAAGAAAAATCACCTAGAGAAAAATAAAAATCGGCATATTTCAACGACATCAATAGGAATTTACACCAACCCTCCTAAAAACACGCGAACAAGAATTCAAGCAAATGGTTTTCACAAGATTATAATTTTGGAGATCTAGAAAACTCAAGTGAGGTACTGAGGTTAAGCCAAAGTTTAAGGATAACAATACAAATATTATTAAGGTGCATGGAAGGTGCCAAAATGGCATGTACTAGCTGAATTATTATTTATAGCTAAAGAATTAAAGATCTTTTCCCACCTAGTTTATGATTAGGATGCCCCCATGATTACTAATTAATTATTTAACTATACTCAGATCACTTTGAAAATAATGTGTTACCCTATCAAGCTTTTAGCAGTTAAAAGACTAACACGTACACCTTAATTATCCATCTATCTTGAGCAAACACTTAGGCACTGCACCCAGGGCCGTTCCTAAGAAGATTGGGGTCCTGTGCGAAAATTTAACATGACCCCCTTTTTGTATAATTGTAAACTAGTAAATTACCCGTGTGATGCATGGATAAATTTTTTTATTATATATTTAAATAATAAAATTAATGATGAAATTATAAACAATTCTAATATTTGAAGGTGTATATTTCTTTGAAATTATAAGATTTGTATATTAGTATTGAAATTGATTACTTAAAAAGTTAAAGGCCCTGCTTGGTAAAATGGTTGTTAGCTGATAGCTGTTAGTTGTTAGCTTATTGTGTTAATTAGAGGGTATAAATAGTTGATAACATTAGCTGATTGTAGAAAAGTGTTTGGTAAATTAGCTGTTAGCTGATAGCTGTTTGGTATAATTTCTTTTCTCAAAAAGCTAATTGAAAAAGTTGCTTGGAGTAGCATTTTGAATTTTAGCCTTTTGGAGTTGCAAAAAGCTAATTAATCAAACATTTATATTGATATTTTAACTAAATCAAACCGTTAATAGTGGTCAAATAAGCCAAAATTGGCCTATAGGCCAATTTTTTACCAAACAGGGCCAAAATAAAATTATATTAGGAAAAGTATAAACAAAAAATAGAAGGATAGAATGGCTAATTGATATTATTTTAAGTAACAGAAATATACGCACTAATGTACTATAATCAAATGAAGACATATTATATTGTACCAAAATATATAATAATCTATATAAAAAAAAAAATTATCATTCAAATTTTCACTTGAAAAGTGACCTTCTTCCTCTTCTTCGGGCATATTTAGATGTAAAATCATTCGCCAAAGTCTTTCTTACAATATACTTGATCATAAACAACAGAAATAAAAATAGTCAAGACTATTTGATATTGCAATTGTAGCATCAAAATACAAGAAATTAGATTGTTATTCACCTATCAAAAAAATACCTACCTAGGGTTAGTTATTGAATAACTTACATACAAAAACCAAGACTATGTGGTCTAATGGTACCCGGGTTGGACTTCCATTTAGAAAGTTGTGAGTTCGAGCCTTAGTGGAGGTGTTATTTGTTTTTTGTGTTTTAGTAGATTGAGAAAGTATATGAACAGATACTACAATGTAATAGAACCAGAAGCATCTAAAAAAACTTACATACAAGAAATTTTAAATTTTTGAATAAAATTAAAGAATTAAAATATTTAACTTACATACTTTCATCCTTTTATTATGAAGAATAAAAAATTTGAGGATGTCAAATGCACAAACAACACACTTCAAATTAATATTACTTGAGATCGAATTCCTCCATTGTGAATATAAATTTTGTGTATATGCATTATAATAGGAATATGAGTAATTTTTTACTCTTAATATATAATAATTTTACAATAGTCAAATAGACCTGCCTTAATTCCTATAAGTTATAGGACTATAACTCTATACATAAATCAAGTCCTTAGGAATTAGGAATGTAAATTTTGTAGAATTTTAGACCGTCATAATTTCTTTATACATAAGTTATACCAACACTAATAATCTAATATTTAATCCATAAATATATACTAATATTTTTTTTAAATAAAAGTGCCCCCAAAATTTGGGGGCACAACAACTAAACTATATATGTAAATGCGTGTAATATTTGGGGCCCCCAAATGCCCTGGCCAAACATGGCCAGGGAGGGCCCTGACTGCACCGGTTGACAAACAATGTCGAAATCTCAACAATAATTCCAAAAGATTATTAATTTCCTGGAAAAAAAAAATGGAAATATCTGGGGAAGAAAACAACAGGGTCGAAGGGAAGAAAGGTGAGGGTTTTAGTACGAGTCGAGCGAAACATCTTTCCTTAAAACCTTATTTGCTACCTCCCAAAAGTGCTAAGGGCGTTGTAGTCTAGGCTTCCCAGGATAAAACGTACTACGGTTCAATGTATGAGCACCCAAACAAATGAACCCGGCAAACTAGAGCAATGTGAGAACAACACGTTGGCTAAGAAAGGAGTGGGAGCAGAGTTTCGAGAGACAAAACACTATTTTTCTTGTTGTTAAAATTTGTTGCTCTACTATCAACTTATATAGAAGAAGGTGGTGTAAATAGCATTCATTTGTAGCATTAAACTCTGGTTTAAAACCAAATTTTTCGCCATGATGATATGTTAAATGGACATTTTTACCCTTTAAATAAATATTTCATTTATTTTCATTCTCCAACAAATTATTGCTTATATGTAGAGATGACCACGATTCGGTTCAAACCAAATCGGACACTGTAGCAACCAAACTGAAAGGTTATGGTTACGATTAAGAACCGGAACTCAATATTTGGGTTTCAGTTTATTAAAATCGCGAATTGGAACTGCCAGTTCTAGTTCTGAACCAAAAAAAAAAAATTACATTAATGTTATAGATCGGAACGGAATTACGATCATATCTACTTATATGTGAGAATCAAAATATATGTGAAAAAGAACATGCATTATTTGCAAATATTATAATTATAATTTTAAAATAATGTTAGTAGTTGTTCGAATTTCGAACCGCCGGTTCACGGTTTTGGATCCAGTGGTTCAAACTTTATTTTTAAAAAAAAAATTCTACTTTCTATTTTAAAATAGTCTAAATTTAACAATTAATTTATTTTATGTTTGTCAAGTTCGCGATTTTAATAAACTGAAACCCAAATATTGGGTTCTGGTTCTAAATTGTAACCGGTATCTTTCGGTTTGTTTGCTACAGTATCCGATTCGGTTCAAACCGGACCGTGGTCATCTCTACATATAAGCAATATTTTGTTGGAGAAGAAAAATAAATGAAATATTTTAAAGGTAAAAATTTCATTTAACATATCAAGGGGAAAAAACTGTCACT